CAAGGATGAGGATTCCGGATCCTATTTCTGTGCCAAATCTGCTGCTGCTTGGAATTGGGGCGATGCTGCTGTTTATTGTGACGACGCCAGTTGTGGATCCAGCCCCGTCCCCGAGTTCCCCCCAGTCCCCAACCCCAGACCCTTCCCCTAAACCTCAGCCATTGACCTAGCCCCTGACCCTTTGTCTCCATTTGCACCAATGGTCAGCACTGACCCCAAACCCTCCCCTGCTCCTGCCCCAAAACTCAACCATTGGCCCCAAACCTTCACCCCTGTCCTCCAGTTCAGGCCATGCTCTTCAAGCGTTCCCATTTCTGCCCGTGCCAGCTCAGCCAATGAGGACCCAGGGAGATGGGGGAGATTTGGCTGAAATGCCCAAAACTGGGGGAAAGTCGACAGTTGGTGCAGCTGGTGCAGACTTTGGGAGAAAATGGTGAAGATTTGAGGAGAAGATCTGTGATTTGGGGAAGGATCTGTGGGGATTGCAGACATTTGGTGACCACCATGGGGGGTGGGACCACTGCCGGAATTGTCACTAAAGGCAGCAACACCACCACCAAAACTACTAGTAACTCATTTGGCACAGAAATAGAATCCGGAATCGTCGTCCTTGAGGTTGTTCACAGTCAGCTATTACAGCGACCTGATGAAGGTCTTCAGGGTGAGAGAAGTGGACGAGAATCTTGGTTCATGATCGGAAGGCTGGATTTATTGATATATGATATAGAATACATTATACCTATACTAAAAGGAATAAAGAGCGAAGTTGCAGAAGCTGCTAAGCTAAGAATAGCATAGGAAAGAATAAAATAAAAAAGTTCTGTGTCCAGCAGAAAGCAAGGACAAACTCTCCCGTGACTGGTCAGCAAATCCAAACACTCACAGAAGACCAATCACAGATGCTCCTATTACATTCCACACCACCAGATAATTATTGTTTACGTTTTTCTTCTGGGGCCCCAGCTTCCCAGAAAGGACAAATCCTAAAAGAAAGGATTTTATGAAAAAATCTCTGTGACAGGTCAGGAATGGTGTCAGGGGTTGGGGTTTGGGGGAAGGCTCTGGGGAATGGGGACACGGGGGGAAGGGGGGCAGGCAATGCCATCTAAAGGTTCAACGGCAGCAGGACCATCAATCCAACCACCATAAGCACATTTGGCACAGAAATAGGATCCGGAATCCTCGTCCTTGATGTTGTTAATGGTCAGCGTCACTAAGCTCTGCCCGTTGTCCCTGTAGATCGTGATCAGGTCTTTGAATGCAGGTGGGTACCAGTTGTATTCATCACTTTCTATCACTGTGACCCACTCCAGCCCCTGCGTAGGTCTCTGGCGAACCCAACCGAGCCCGAATTTCCCAAAAATGAACCCGGACCCTCGGCAGAGGAGGCGCAGGGATCCCCCGGGGGGCTGGAGGTCCCCCCCGCACTCCAGCAGGGTCACGGCCGCCCGGAGCCCTGCGGGACAAAGGGGAGATGGGGATGGGGATAAAAAGCGACCCAAATATTGATTCTTGCATGCAGATCCTGATGCTGGCCACAAATTGGGACCCTTGCACCTCACCATCCTCCTCCTGCAGCACCTACCAATCCTCCCAGGCGGATCCCACACACTTCTTCTGGCATGGCGGTGCCCACTTTGGGTCCACAGCCAATCCAGCTCCTCCTCCCCATCTCCCCTTTGTCCCGCAGGGCTCCGGGTGGCCGTGACCCTGCTGAAGTGCGGGGGGCACCTCCAGCCCCCCGGGGGGTCCCTGCGCCTCCTCTGCCAAGGGTCCGGGTTCATTTTCGGCAGCTCTGACATGCTCTGCATCCTCCAGAGACCCGGGCAGGGGCTGGAATGGCTCGCAGGCATCTACAGCAGTGGTTCCAGCACCGCCTAAACACCGTCGGTCAAGGGCCGGTTCACGATCTCCAGGGACAACGGGCAGAGCTCGGTGACGCTGACCATGAACAACCTCAAGGACGAGGATTCCGCCACCTATTTCTGTGCCAAGGCTGCTGGTGCTGGTGCTGGTGCTAATACTGCGTATGCTATTGGCTCCTCCCCCATGGTCGTGCCCCATTCCCCTGACCCTTCCCCCAAACCCCAACCCCTGACCCCATTCCTGACCCTCTGTCCCAGCCCTGCTCTGGCTCTGCCCCAAACGTCCCCTCTGGGCCACACTCAGTGCCCTCGTTTCTCAAATTGCATTCAGTTTTTCAAAATCTGGGGCCAAAGTTAAGGTCAGGAGTCAAAAATTCAAATTTTGGCAAGGAATTCCTTATGTGAGGCTAATGGGCCAGATTTGGGTCGGTGGCTTTGACTTGGTGCCTGCAGGGGAGATTTGGGGTAAAACTGGACAAGTCTGGGGGCAGTGGTTGGGATTGGAGGGACGAGGCTGAGCTCAGGGTGAAACCGGCCCTGATTTCAGGCCAGGAGCTGAGATTTGGGGCTAGAGCAGGGCAAGGTTGGGACAAAGGCTCATGAGTGAGGTCAGGGGTTGGAGGGAAGGGTCTGGGGCACGGGGACAGGAAGAAAATGATAAACAAAAGCAGCAGCACCCCAACCAGCACCAGCAGTAAAAGTGCATTTTACACAGAAATAGGATCCGGAATCCTCGTCCTTGAGGTTGCTCATGGTCAGCATCACCGAGCTCTGCCCGTTGTCCCTGGAGATCCTGAACAGGCCCTGGAGCGATGGAGCGTAGTAGGAGTAACCAGCAGTATTGCTGAAGTAGGCAACGAATTCCAGCCCCTGCCCGGGTCTCTGGCCGATCCATTCCATGTCAAAACTCCCAAAACTGAACCCAGACCCTCGGCAGAGGAGGCGCAGGGACCCCCCGGGGGGCTGGAGGTCCCCCCTGCACTCCAGCAGGGTCACGGGCGCACAGAGCCCTGCGGGAAAAAGGGGAGATGGGGATGAGGCCAAAGCTCAACCCTTGACCCAAATCCTGACTCTTGGCCCCAAATTTTGACACTTCTGCCACCGCATCCTCAACTTGGCTGCCGTCTCACGTGCGTCCTGCCCCTTTTTTCTGCAAGCCATGCCCCTTTTCTCATTCTGGACCAATCTGATTTTTCGTTTCCATCATCTCCCTGTTGTCCCGCAGGGCTCTGGGTGGCCGTGACCCTGCTGGAGTGCGGGGGGGACCTCCAGCCCCCGGGGGGTCCCTCCACCTCCTCTGCCGAGGGTCCGGGTTCAGTTTCGGTGGTTTCCACATGAGCTGGTATCGGCAGAGACCCGGGCAGGGGCTGGAATCAGTCGCAAGTATCAGCAACGATGGTGGAAGCACCAGGTACGCGGATTCAGTCAAGGGCCGGTTCACGATCTCCAGGGACAAGGGGCAGAGCTCAGTGACGCTGACCATGAACAACCTCAAGGACGAGGATTCCGGATACTATTTCTGTGGCAGAAGTGTTGTTGGTAGTGCTGGTTGGAACGCTGCTGCTGGTATTGGTCACTCTCTTGTTTCGGTTGCATTTGGCTGTGTTCCTGTTCCCCGGTCCCCACCTATCTCCATTCTCTGGACCCTTCCCAAAAACCCCAAACCTGGAACCCATTCCTGTCCCCATGTCCCAATCTTGGAGTGGTTTGGCCTGAAATCCACTCCCTGCACATTACCACCAATTTGACTCAAACCTTAACCCTTGGCTTGAAGTATCCAAATTTATAACAAGGTTTTGGGGCACAAAGAGGAGATTTGGGGTCAGGAGTTGTGGTTTGGGGTCAGCGGGTGAGGATTGGGGCCGAGACAGAGCAAGGTTGGGATCAATGGTCAAGGGCTGGGTGTGGGCTGGGGGTTTGGGGGAAGGGTCTGGGCAACGGGGACGAGGGGACACAGAGAGGGGGATGGGGACAGCAAGGCCATCGTCAATACGATGAGCACTTTCAGCCCAAGCAGCACGAGCGCTCTTGGCACAGAAATAGGTGGAGGAATCCTCGTCCTTGAGGTTGTTCATGGTCAGTGTCACCGAGCTCTGCCCGTTTTCCCTGGACATCCTGAACCACCCCTTGACTGATGGATTGTAGAAGGTGGTGCCACCAGTGTTGTAGATGCCTGCAACGTATTCCAAACCCTGCCCAGGTCTCCGGCAGATCCAGTACATTCCATAACTCCCAAAATGAACCCGGACCCTTGGCACAGCAACGTGAGGGACCCCCCGGTGAGCTGGAGGTCCCCCCCGCACTCCAGCAGGGTCACGGCCGCCCGGAGCCCTGTGGGACAGAGGGGAGATGGGGATGAGGGCAAAGCTCAGAATTGACCCAAATCCTGACTCTGGGCCCCAAATTGGGATTCTTCGAGTTCATCATCCTCCTCCCAGGAGTGTTCTACCCCTTTGTCCAGCTGGCCACGCCCACTTAAAAGACCTAGACCAATCAGACTTTCGATTTCTATCATCTCCCTTTTGTCCCGCAGGTCTCCGGGGGCCCATGACCCTGCTGGAGCGCGGGGCAGACCTCCAGCCCCCCGGGGGGTCCCTGCGCCTCCTCTGCCGACGGTCCGGGTTCAGTTTTGGACGAATCAGTCTGATGTGGATCCGCCAGTGGCCTGGGCAGGGCCTGGAATACATTGCAGGGATTGACTATGATGGATACACCTGATACCCGTCATCGTTCAGCGGTCGAGTAGCATCTCCAGGGACAAGGGGCAGAGCTCGGTGACGCTGACCATGAACGACCACAAGGACGAGGATTCCGAATCCTATTTCTGTGCCAAAACTCCTGAGGGTTATAATGCTGTTGTTGCTGATCGTAGTGACGCTGTTGGTGCAGGTTATGGAGCATTTAGCCCCGCCCCCTTTGTTGCGTCCCTAATTGTCCCCAAACCCCAGACCCTCCCCCTATATCCCAGCCCTTGTCCCCGCTCTCGGTGACTGAATTCGTGTACCCAGGACCAGCCCAGCGCTGACCTTTGGGGCAGAGTTTTGGGGAAGATCAACGGCCAAGGGTTGGGGTTTGGGGCCGGAGAGGGGAAAGGGAAATGGAGAAATGGTCACGGGCTGGGTCAGGGGCTGGGAGCTAGGGAAGGGTATGGGGAATGGGGACAGGAGGGGAGGCAGTGATGAGGGTGAGACCAGGACTTCGCAGGTCCCCATGAGCAGCCGCACCAGGACCACCAGTATTGTAAGATTTCCCGCAGAAATAGACGGCGGAATCCTCGTCCTTGAGGTTGTTCATGGTCAGCGTCACCGAGCTCTGCCCGTTGTCCCTGGAGATCGTGAACCGGCCCTTGACCGAAGGCGCGTACCAGGTGCTGCCACCATTGCTGGTGATATTTGCGAACCATTCCAGTGCATTCTTTGGTGTCTGTCCATACCAGCCCGTCCCAAAACTGCCAAAATCGAACCCGGACCCTCGGCAGAGGAGGCGCAGGGTCCCCCCGGGGGACTGGAGGTCCCCCCCGAACTCCAGCAGGGTCACGGCCGCCCGGAGCCCTGCGGGACAAAGGGGAGATGGGGATGAGAAACCTGATTGGCTGAGGACCCAAAGTGGTTGTGGCCAACTGGAGAAAGGGATGGGACCCACCTGGGAGGGTGACCGGGAGCAGGAGGAGAAAAAAAAATTGTCACAACCTGGCGCCGATAGTTGGGACATTGGGGTCAAGGGTTGATCTTTGGCCTCATCCCCATCTCCCCTTTGTCCTGCAGGGCTCCGGGTGGCCGTGACCCTGCTGGAGTGTGGGGGGGACCTCCACCCTCCGGGGGGTCCCTGACGTTGCTGTGCCGACGGTCCGGGTTCATTTTCGGCAGTTCTGATCTGCTCTGAGTCTGACAGAGACCCAGGCAGGGGCTGGAGTGGCTCGCGGGGATCAGCACTGCTGCTTACCCCTACTATGCGCCGTGAGTGCAGGGCCGGTTCACGATCTCCATGGACAAGGGGCAGAGCTCGGTGACGCTGACCATGAACAACCTCAAGGATGAGGATTCTGCCATCTATTTCTGTGCGAAGTGTTATTTTGCTGGTTGTACTTACGAAGCTTATGGTATTGGTGCTGGTTTCAGGCCGGCCTTTGTTGTTGCGTCCCCAGATGTCCCCAACCCTCTGACCATTCTCCCAAACCTCACCCATTGACTCAGATCTTCACCCTTTGTCCCCATTTGCACCAATGGTCAGCACTGACCCCAAACCCTCCCCTGCTCCTGCCCCAAAACTCAACCATTGGCCCCAAACCTTCACCCCTGGCCTCCAATTCAGGCCTCCTCCAATCAGGGCCCAGGGAGCTGGGGGAGATTTGGGTGAAATGGGCAAAACTGAGGAAAAGTGCAGGGTTGAGGCAGCAGGGGCTGAGTTTGGGGGAAACTCTTTAAAACTTGAGGAGAAAAGCGGGGCTCTGGAGGAAGGATCACTGGGAGTGGAGACATCTGGTGACCATCCTAGGGCTGGGGCCACTGCCGGAATTGTCACTAAAAGCCGCAACACCACCACCATAACTACTACTAGCGCATTTGGTGCAGAAATAAACGTCGGAATTCTCGTCCTTGAGGTTGTTCATGGTCAGCATCACCGAGCTCTGCCCGTTGTCCGGGGACATCCTGAACCGGCCCTTGACCGACAGCGCGTAGTAGGTGCAACCATCAGTGTTGCTGATACTGGCGATGTATTCCAGCTTCTGCCCGGGTCTCTGGCGCATCTAGCCCATCCTAAAACTGCCAAACCTGAACCCGGACCCTCGGCAGACGAGATTGGAGGTCTCCCCGGACTCCAGCAGGGTCACGGCCACTCCCCGAACCCCATGCCTTCCCCAGTTTTGCCCCAAAATCCCTTTGTCTGGACTCAAATATTCTACAGAGGTTTCCATTATTGTACAGAACCTTAAACCCTGCAATTAGCCCAAATCCACCCATTATTAATTTGACAGCTCCACCAGGCTTTTGCATCGCCCCATCCCCATCTCCCCTTTGTCCGCAGGGCTCCAGGCAGCCGTGACCCTGCTGGAGTGCGGGGGGGACCTCCAGCCCCCCGGGGGGTCCCTGCGCCTCCTCTGTCGAGGGTCCGGGTTCAGTTTCAGCAGTTTTGGAATGCACTGGTTCCGCCAGAGACCCTGGTGGGGGCTGGAGTTGGTCGCTGGAATCAGGAACGATGGTTCCAGCACCGAGTACGAGGATTCAGTGCAGGGCTGGATCACGATCTCCAGGGACAACGGGCAGAGCTCGGTGACGCTGACCATGAACAACCTCAAGGACGAGGATTCCGGATCCTATTTCTGTGCCAAACGTGCTTATGCTGATAATTGGGGCCCTCCTGCTATTGGTAAATGCACCAATGGTTGATCCATCGCCATCTCAGTGTCCCCACCTGTCCCCAAAGTCCAGACCCTTCCCCCACACCCCAGTCCCATCACCTGACCCTTTGTCCCAGATCTTCCCCATTTCCACCCATGGTGACCAAAGACAACAAACCCCGTCTGGTTCTGCCCCAAACCCAACTTAGTTGGTGCCAAAATTTGCCAAATTTCAACGCAAATCTCGACCCATTGGGCATTTTTGCAGCACGAGGGGGAGATTTGGGGCCGAGAGTTGAGTTTGGGGCCAGAGCCAGGGCAGGGTTTGGGGCCAATGGGAAGAGTTGGGGCAAAGGGGGCGGGGCTGGGACAAAGGGTCAGGGGTGGGACAGGGGGGTTTGGGGAAGGGTCTGGGGACAGCTGGGGACAGGGACGGGGCTGAAACCCCAAACACCAACCCAACCACCGGGAGTAAAAGAAATGGCATGGGCGGCATTCCAGCCACCATAGGAATCCTTGGCACAGAAATAGGATCTGGAATCCTCGTCCTTGAGGTTGTTCATGGTCAGCGTCACCGAGCTCTGCCCGTTGTCCCTGGAGATCTTGACCCGGCCCTTGACCGAATCTCCATAGTGGATGGTGCCAGCAGTGTTGATCTGTGCTACGAACTCCAAACCCTGCCCGGGTCTCTGGCGCACCCAGCCCATCCCAAAACTTCTGAAACTGAACCTGGACCCTCGGCAGAGGAGGCGCAGGCACCCCCCGGGGGGCTGGAGGTGCCCTCCTGCACTCCAGCAGGGTCGGGCCGCCTGGAGCCCTGCGGGACAAAGGGGAGATGGGGATGAGAAACCTGATTGGTCCAGAAGAGGAAAAGGGGCGTGACTTCCAGGAAAAAGGGGCGGGACCAACGTGGGAGGGCCAGCAGGAGCAGCAGGGCCCGGAGCTGGAGGGAGCTAGAGCCCAAGGCCGGGTTGTGCCCAGGGGCTTTGGGGGTTGTGGTCCCAGGGGATTTGGGGGTTATTAATAAGCTATTACTTTTGAAATCAATGTGGAACACTCAGGAAAAGGTGTCCAATTATTAATGAGAATATTGAGTTAACCTTCAGAGTCTGAGGGACCTCAGGATACCCGAAAAATCTGGTGAAGGTTTGGGACCCAACCAGTGAAGTTATGAGTAAAATTGATGAAGATTTGGGGATGGGCTCCGGGCGGCAGTGACCCTGCTGGAGTGCGGGGGGCGCCTCCAGCCCCCCGGGGGGTCCTTGACGTTGCTATGCCGAGGGTCCGGGTTCAGTTTCGGGAGTTTTGCCCTACAATGGCTCCGTCAGAGACCCGGGCAGGGGCTGGAATTCGTCGCTTACATCCGCAGCCATGGTAGCACCTGGTACGCGGATTCAGTCAAGGGCCGGTTCATGATCGCCAGGGACAACGGGCAGAGTCTGATGACGCTGACCATGATCAACCTCAAGGACGAGGATTCCACTGTTTATTTCTGTGCCAAAAATTGGGATGATTGTTGTGCTCCTGCTGCTGGTGACGATATTGACTGTGGTGATATTGGTCATGGTGGTTTTGGCCCTGCTCCCATCTTTGAGTCCCCCCTGTCCTCAAACCCAGACCCTCCCCCCAAACCTCAGCCCTTGAGCTTTTGTCCCCATTTGCCCCAATGGTCAGCACCGACCCCAAACCCTCCCCTGCTCCTGCCCCAAAACTCAACCATTGGCCCCAAACCGTCACCCCTGGCCTCCAGTTCAGCCCTCCTCGAATCAGGGCCCGGGGAGCTGGGGGAGCTTTGGATGAAATGGGCAAAATTGGGGGAAAGTCAAAAGTTGGGACAAAGATGGTGGAGACTGCGGAGAAAGGTCAAGAATGGGGTCAAGGTTTGGGATTTGGGGCAGGATTTGGGGATTTGGGGACGTTTTGGGGAGCCAGGGATGGGGTTTTGAGGCCACCACCAGCATCATCACCATGACCAGAGCTCCCAGAGAGGATTCCAGTCCAGCCCCAAGGAGCAGCCGCAGACACCGAGGCCGCTGAGGGAGAAGAGAAGCCCCAGGTGGGAGGGAGGGAGGGAGGGAGGAGAAGACGCCGTGATTTTGAGTCTCTGCAGCCTCCCCCCACTTCCTCCCCGGCAGCTGCTGGGGCCCAGCCGGGGCGGGAAAGGAAACAGAGAGTTCCTGGTTTTGGTCATTGTGAACATCTGTGTTTGGCAGAGGGCAGGTCAGCCTCGGGGCGCTGCGGCAGAGCGCCAGCTGCACAAAAAGCTTTGTGTGCAAAGGGCCCTGGAGCGATCCCTGTTCCACACTGGAACGGAGGGGAACTGGGGGAGATTGGGGAGAAATGGGCAAAACTGGGGGGAAATTGGGAATTGGGGAAGTGACGGTGGAGTTTGGCGGAAAATGGCTGAGATGTGAGAAAAAGAGCCAGGATTTTTGGGAAGGATCTCTGGGATTGGGGAAATGTTTTGACCATCATGGTCACTATCTGGATTGATTCCAGCATCAATAGCATTGCCAGCATAAACATCGCAAAGTTTGACACAGAAGTAAACAGCGGAATCCTCGACCTTGAGGCTGTTCATGGTCAGCGTCACCGAGCTCTGCCCATTGTCCCTGGAGATCGTGAACCGGCCCTTGACTGACAGGGCGTATCTGGGAGTGGCGCCATAACTGGTGACACTCGCCACAAACTGCAAACCCTGCCCAGGTCTCTGGCACATCCAGACCATCCCAAAAGTGCCAAAACTGAACCTGGACCCTCGGCAGAGGAGGCGCAGTGACCCCCTGGGAGGCTGGAGGTCCCCCCCGCACTCCAGCAGGGTCACAGCCGCCCGGAGCCCTGCGGGACAAAGGGGAGATGGGGATGAGAAACCTGGTTGGCTGTGGGCCTGCATTGGGCAAGCCCAGCTGGGAAAAGGAATTGCACCCACTTGGTAGGGCGACAGGTGTGAGGAGGAGAAGGACAAAGTTCCACAATCTGGGGCCCAGAGTCAGGATTTGGGTCAAGGGTTGAGCTTTGGCCTCATCCCCCCCTCCCCTTCATCCGGCAGGGCTCCGGGCGGCCGTGACCCTGCTGGAGTGCGGGGGGGACCTCCAGCCCACCAGGGGGTCCCTGCGCCTTCTCTGACGAGGGTCCGGGTTTGATTTCGGGAGCTACGGCATGAATTGGATCTTCCAGAGACCTGGGCAGGGGCTGGAATACGTCGCAA